CTCAGCAGCCAATTCAGCGGCTTCTTTGTACTTTGTTTGAGCAAAAAGTTCTTGGAAACGTTGGACAACCTGTGAAAATAGATGTATCAACCACCCAAAAGTTGTAGAGAATGGCATGAACGAAAACCAACAGCACAGATTCTAAATGTGAAGCAATGAGAAGAAAGCATAGTTTATGGGAAAAAATTTCAACTCTTCACCAAGACGGAACATGTCGAGCTATTCTAGTAGGTTATTTTAAATCAAACGTAAACGATATAAAAATAAATAAAATCAATACCTGATGAATATATTTATCTTAGTTAGATACTTGAAATTAAAGATCACTTCTAGCGTTTCCTCTATTTCAAGAAAGAAAGTGTTTCTTAAAATACTAGAGCATTTCACAGCTATAAATTCAATCTTTGCAAATTTGTAAATTGAAAGAAAAAAAATCAAGAGGCACCATAAAATTAATATTGCTTAAGTTTTATCCCGAGTGCTTTTTCTTTATTAATTAATTTGGGTTGTATTCAACTCAAACTAATTTTATAAGATCCAAAATCTAACCAACCTATGTCAAACAAGTTTCAACTATTTGAACGCAACACCGCCACTTTATGCTGTTTGGTTTTATTAGATTCTCCAGGGTTTTTAACCACCCCAACTCACCTAATTGACAATAAATGAACTAATCCATGGTGGGTGCAAAAGAACTATGCTTATACAACCGAGCTTACCAGATTTTCAGCACCAGGAAGATTTCCTCTTTTAGCAAGATTGACAGCAAGCTCTAGATTGTTCAACTGCCACAATCAACAAAAGTTTTCACAAGTCTCGCCTATATAATACAGAATGAGAAGGGAAAATACATACATACATATGTATATATATTTGATCATGATCATACCTGGCCACTGACAAAGGAGATAATTGTTTGTTCATTGACAGTAGCCAGTAACACCTGACCCCTCCTGTTTATTGCATAAAATCCTCCCACAGAAGAAGCCTCTGCAGTTAAGAATATAGGATCTGGACTGATCCTATTTCTATATACTGCTGCAGCCGTCTCCAAGTCATATACAAATAACAACCCAAGCTTGGTGATCACATAGATCAAACTATATTTGTGTGAGATCTGTAAATAATAATTAAAAAAAGTTAAAACCATCACTAAAATTGATACAAAAGGGTTACTAGAATCTTGTTCATCTAAGTGTGTAACTCTCCAATACCTGCATTGCCACAGGAAAGTCATCAGCAAAATCAGGTGGAAAGAATAGATCTGCTTGCTTCTTTGTAAATGATGGTTTTCCTGTGAACAATCACATTTTGAAAAATTTACTATGGCAACTATGCTGACAGAAGTCTAAGTACCTCACTATTTGAGACTTCATAAAACTACTTCCAACCTGCTTTGGTTCTCCCAGTACCATCCTCAGATACTTACAAGGTTTTCGTTTTGTGATTTCTTACATCACTCAAAGATCTCAACAATATGGATCAATTTTCTAGATAGAATTGTGCATGAATGTATTCAGATCAATTACAGCATTACATATCCCCAAGCTCATGTAAGAAAATAAATGAAATCACAGTCTACCAGGAACAAGGCATATTTCAAAGATGGGATAATAAAATAAATATTCTACATCTAACATACAGACAGAGATTCAATCTTCAGACGGCTGTAAATACATTTTAGGGATACCAATTGCACTACCAAAAATTGTAAACACAGAAAAACAGTATGACATGCTGTTGGAGAATAGCCAAACCTAATATGTTTAGGTCAAATGTAATGACCCAGCAATCCGGGATACTAAACAACAAATTTACCCAAAGAAAAAAGGATGTATAAGAGCAAGTTAACCTGGCTGGGCACCAAGTTCAATGACATGTAACTTGGAAGTGATCTGTCCAGCGTTAAGTGTCTTCGTGGCGAAGGATATAAGAGTGGAAGGATTCTCATTTCCAGGAAGCTGTTCAAACCAAAAAACAGATAAAGCAAAATGATGTTCAAAGAATACACCAACAGCACAAGAACTGAAAAACGCCTCTTACCTTAAATTGAGCAAATGATGCAGCATGTGCTTCAAGAGCTTGACTTCTCTGCTGCTCCACAGAGAAAAGTTGCATATTCCCTTTCACAAGTTGTGGCCTCTATATTAAAAGGAAAAGTACATCAGAACCACATCCACCCTAGAGTTGTGATAGCATCAATATTTGTACATATTACAATAAATGAAAACAGGATAAAATTTTAGCCCGCCATAAGCTTCAAAAAATGGCAAAAAATAGAAATAAAATACAAAAACAACAATTTATATTCATCAAGAAGAAGGAAAAAAGGCTACAATGTGGGCCAACCAGAAAAGTAGGAAATTGGAGTGGCAAGCATAACCAAAAAGTTGCATGGTCCAAGGCTGAAAGCACTTGCAATTGTCTTCAAATTTGCTTCAGGAAGAAGCCTGATTCAAGACTATTATACAATGAAGCATAAACCATAAACAGAATTGGTAGTGTTTTGGCCCCAATCAACTACACCACTGTATATTATATGACCAGTCCCGATTCTGAAATCAAACTCACTTAACCAATACCAGTTAAATGTATGGCTTACAGAATTGCTATGAGTCATTTTTCCTTCGTGTGTGGAGGTAAAAAAGAACTTTGTCATTTGCCCTTGGACCACTCAGAAAATTTTTGTATGTAAATATTTTTAAAAGAAGTTCTCATTTCATGGAGAACAGGAATTTAAGAAAATGTAACATACCTCAGGTGAACCAGGTGCAATCCCAATCAAAACCAACCACTTTTCAGACGGATCACACCGATAGTTTATAATCTGATTGTTCGCCAGATTGGCTGTTCTTTCAAACACTTTCACAGGTTCAGAATCGCCTACATAAAACAAGAGTGAAGACATATAGGAGTGAGCAATGAGTGAAGCCATAGCACAAATTGTTCAATATCCGAGATAAATATGTGAAAAGAAAATAATAAAATGTTCCCAACCTTCAATGGACCAATGATATACTGAAGTTTGTGTGACCAAGCCCAGTGTCTTAGGGGTTATCCACTTCCAAAAGACAACCTATAAATGAAAAAAAATCGTGAGTGTTATGAACTGTGAATCTCAACAGGAAAATCGTGCTCTGCAACAGTCTCAACATTCCAATATGAAAATACAGAATGGAGTTCCAACCTGCTCGGGCATCAAATGTGATTTCATCTTGGCCTTCATTTCAATGTTGAATATTTGTAGGTGGTCTTGAGTTGATCCCTGGACTTGAGCTACATGATGGTGCAAAATAGGTAAATAAGGTTCAAAATACAAAAATAAATAAATAAAGTAGAATATATGCAGAACTCATGGGTAGAAACCCAATACCAGAAGAATTTCTATTTCCACAAGCATAAAGCTCGCATAGAGTGAGTTCAGTTCAGAATAGCCACTACAACAAGTACACATGTTCAAGTTCATTTAGCATACTTCAAATAAAAATTATTGTATGAATCTTGACTTTCCAGATAAATGAGACTCTTTGTGCATTAAAATGTCTCTTCCCAATCATATATTTCATTTTATACGCATTAAGTTTGAAACTCCAGTTAAGGAATGTATCAGTTTAACTCAAAAACCTAGAAATTTGAGCATATAAAATGATCTTCTCACATAGATTTTAGGTCAAGCAACCCCAAATTAGATAGAATTAAAATTACATTCCACTACGTTGACCATCAATAGACAAGATTAGAAATAAAATGGTCGAAATCATATATGGAAACTGTGTTTCTTACACTAGAATTTCTACCACCACAATATTTAAAAACAAAAATTTTCAACTCAACATGGTCATACAATACCTTTCAAGGCCAATATTCTAGAATTAGGATTCATAAGAGCTGAGTCCGCAGTAATAGGCCTCCTCAACGGCTGCATTGGCATGTTCATATCAATAATAACAACACTGTTCTGCGGTGCTGTTTCTCGGACGCAAATATATTTGTCGGATTCCATTGTCACGTGCGTGAATGTTATGAATTGCGGATTAATACCAATGCTCGGAAGCTGAAAGCTCATCAGATCACACAATCCGATCAGTTAGTATGACTGTATATAATCCATCTCGCCATAAGAAAATTGGCGCACTCAATATACAAAAAGTACAAGCCAGAAATGAAGAATCAAATGCAAGACAAAAGAGTCGCAGATCTAAAAAGAACAAGTATCGGATCTGAGCCAACAACAAGATGTAAAAAATAAAAATAAAAAACAACTTAAATCGAAAAATCAAGCAGGTAGCATAGGATGCGAACTCGGAACAAAATTGAGCAATCTAAGACCCGACCATCGACCAACACACAATTACAACCTCGAATTAAGCTTAGCAAGTGCATAATTCAAAATTTTACAAAAAAAAAAAAAAAAAAAAA